GCATCCAAACTTCACCAATTCACTTGCTTGCTGCCCTCACTCGCTAACTCAAACCCAATGCAATGGTTATGGTATCACTAGAACTCAAGAGACAGTGGGGATATACTGTTGCTGTTGAAGCATCTATCCTAAACATCAAACAAATTCCCTCCTACCACAAATGAGAAGACTTATTTGATGAGCATTGAGTGCTCTTAAAATGCTGCCTTCAACTCATGCAACCACTTCCAAGTTACAACTCCTCCAATGCCTCCACTAATACTTGTTACTGACCTGACATTCCAGTGCTGATGATAATACTACATCTACCCATGAATCAAATGACCACACCAAAAAAATAGGCAAGACCACAAGTGCAAAGATGTGGTACATACATCAAAGAACACCACTCCTGCACCAATGAAAAGCTGTGAGGCCTTGTTTTATCTTCTGATAGTCAGCAAGTTGCTTGAGACAACATGTCAAGCGGGTAGTGTTCTCTCTTATTAAATGTCTTGCATCTCCTTCATCATGCCCATAGTATTGTACTCATGTACTTGGAAATAAGTAACTGTGATAATGATTTATACCTGCGCCAATCCCTACTAGTAGCTCAAATATTACAGTATCTGAACAGTCTCTACTACAGTTATTATATGTGACAGAAAGCTGGATAGCAAAGAAATTGAAGTATATAGTAAAGTTGTGAGCATAAGATCAGTTTTGGTCCAACCATATGTGACCAACCTTCTTAGTAGAATCATGTAAAGTAAAGGACCCATTGCACTGCACTTTTTGTGCAAAGTGCAGCATTTGCCTTACAATAGTACTTAATGGTGGTCTTATTATATGTAGGGACTGCTGTGCTGTTATCATCAGTACTCAGTCCATAATCAATGTTTTATGTTTTAGTTGGAGTTTTATTTGTTACTTGATTGGCTGCTTAAACCTCTCAAGAGCATCTCATGAGCCCCGTGAGATGCCCTTGCCAGCCATAGCACAGGCCCAGGCACCTGAAGTTGATCCACATCCAGTGTTCTACAGGTGATTCATGTCATGTTGTCATGCCATTACATGGTGATTCTCAAAGACTCTGTGCCAAAGAGGATTCATAAGGTGAGATAAGCTCTTGAATTGGGCACACATGCATCTCTGTTGATACATTCATGATACAATGTGTCTTGTCACATGACCTTATGTACCTCCAAATTCTCCAACTTGAAGCTTACTATGATTCAGCTCGTCTCATTGCCCTTGTTCTAACATCTACACATCTTGGAGATGGACCCTATGGAAAGTGAACAACTAGTTCCACTCTATTCCATCTTCTGCACAAGTAGCATCCATCATCAGAATCATGACCCTAGCAAGATCCAACTATGCACACTTATGAATATCAAGAGTGCACTTTGTTCCCGCTCTATCCCCTCCATCATTGTCCTGAATGTTGTATTATAGCTGGTGGATGTTCTGAGGACTGTAAGGAGCCTATTGTACTACCAAATAATGATACTGACTCATTTACTCAGCTCATACTGTTCTCAGTCATCCAGATATTCCACTCCGACGCAGGCTTCATGTTTGCCAATATCAAACCTGTCATTGAAGCAGTACAAAACATGGGTGCAGCATGAAGGGACCTCACAGGACACAGGAGAGAGTTTGAAAGGATTCTTCAAATGGTCCAAGAGGTCTGGGGTATGGGGATGGAAATCTGTATGACTTTTGGTATCCTCACTCCAGAGCAAACAAAACAGTCAAAAGAGGCATACATATTTTCTATCTCTCAGGTTCAACTGAATTCACATCTGTTTAGACTAGCAGCCTGACTGCATGCAATCATAATCTCAATACATTATGTGAATTTTATCTGCAGGTTTGCTATATGTTATGTTTTGGAGTTGCTGCCTACATCTTTTTCAGGTCATCACAATGCAGTCATATGACAATATCACACACAATTTGAGCATGTTTCATGCAGATCCCAGCCATCACGACTGCCCATATTGCATGTGTAAATGGAGACTTATCTACCGCCAAGGAACTACTCACCCAAGATATCAACACCAATCCAAACAACCTCTCTGGTAAACTTGACTACCAATTACTACCTGTTGCTACCCATTGTGTTCTTGCTTACCTGTATTGGACTGCAACTCAAGCTGAGCCAGGCAAAAGCCAAGCTGTTATTGACAACTAATGACTCACCAACCCTATGCCCTTACTGCCTGACCAGTACAGTTACCTACTTTGGTATTCTGACTTGTCTCACCCTATGCCCTTACTTCTCAGCTAGTACCCTTACTTATTTTGGTATTCTGACATGCTATGACTCATCTTGCCCTCTACCCTTATCACTAATATGGCAGACCTGTGTCATATCCGCATATCCAGATCTCAGATCCAATCCATATCTTATCTCAGATCCGATCCACATCTTATCTCCAATTCTTTCCACATCTTATCTCCTTCCAACATCTCATCATCCAATCTGCCACTCATCCGGTCCAGTCCACAATCAGCGCTCGTCTCCTTTTGGTAATCTCCTAACTCCAGTATTTCAGTTATCTATATATCTGTCCTACTCATTGATCCATTACCTATGCTTCATTTCCATTTCATTATTTGTGATCCATTTCTACTTACCAATAGACTATCCATATGCTTCGTACATAGCCTCAGACCCTGCTGATTGATCATTCCGTTAGATGCCTATAGTATATAACCTCCTGTAACTTTCTGTAGCACCTTAGTTCGAATATCATCTTAGTTCTGCTCATTCCTGTCCTCCAGACCTAAGTACCACTACTCTTGTCACCCTCCAAGACTTAGGATTGATTCCTATAGTCTATCTCTATCCACCTCTGTCTACAACAGCCCACTACTGCTAGTTTCTAGTCTGGACTCATCCAGATTAGCCTTATGATACTTATCCCACATCCGGAAGTCATCCAGATCTGCTACACTACCCATCCAACCCTCCGGACACATTAGTCTTGCCTTCCTGAAATAAGGGGCAATACTCGGGTAAGGGGCACAGTGCACAAGCTGAGGCCAAAGTCCTTCAGATCCATTTAGCCTTGAGTACAACCTTAACAACCTGCCCTTATCCCTTCCAATGGTATATATACCTCTTGGGTAGCACTCATATTCCTTAACTTGAATCTACTTGGTTCTAGCTATTTCCCTCTTGAAAAGCCTAAGCAAGCTTTCATTATTTATCAAGTATCTTCATTGGAGCTCATTACTGCCAAATGTCCTTAGCCTTGAGAAGAAGAAGATTGACAATGCACTAGTGTAATTGTTGATAATTCATTGTAGCCCTTGCAGCTAGATCAATTTGTACCTACAAACACTCACTGGTTGCAGCAGGCTTGGTGTGAGCCCCAATCCAAGTTCTATGTTACTCACTTGCCTCATTTGCTTGTTGCAGACCTAGCTTGATCATAACAGTCAGCTCATAGTTACCAAGCCCTAATTTATGCATGCCTGTTATCTTCTCAATTGCTGCTCAGTATTCCAACACAAAATTGAGCATATTGAAGGTCGAATTCCACCTGGTGGATATATCATGTGGCATGATTCATACATTAAGATCCAAGTCCTTGATGACCTGTTTCCACACAGGCAGAATAATAGTCATTGAATGGATGATTTTGAATGCAAGTTTCCATAGCTGTGATCTGTGTTAGTTTGTATAGGTGAGTTTCACTTATTGACACTGTCACCTTCACTAAGACAGGCTTCACTAGACAGATACTGTCTATCAGTTCCTTGCACTCAGCCTCTTTCAACAGCTGTAATTCATCAACCCAGCCCCCATCATCATCTTTGCTTTCCTGGTCCTTGTTTGGATCTTCATCTGCCATTTGAGTATCCTCAATCTCTATATTCCTGGTAAGTTTATCTAGTTCTGGATCTGTGCTACTGCCTGATTTTGTGTTAAGCTCACAAATTAAAGACTTTGCTACAAGGTTCATGATATGCAAAAGCATTGAGTTTGGTTTATCTCACTAGCAAAATGCACCACTCAATCTGCAAGCTCTGTGACAAGTGTATCATTGGATGTCGCATTATCTGCTGTGATGCTCAATATCTACCCCAGTCAGGTAAGGGTTTTATGGAGTGGCTAACCTTAAGTACCTTGTCTGATATGCTAAAGTCTTTTAGAATGTGTGCAAATGTGTCAGTGAGATTTGTGCCACTGTGAGACTGCAATATGTCAGCATGTGTACCATCTTGTTCAAACTTTGGGTGAGTTGTACCTTTGCTATCTCAATCAACTATGTCTAGTATCATTGAGAATGGCTGACCCTCATGCTCTAGATGCACAGAGATGGCTATATAAGCCCTGTGATTGGGTGATGTCCAGGTATCTGTTCTGAAATTGAGTTCGCCATCATAATTCTAATAATTGCTTTAGTTTGCTGATCTTCTGCACTACATTTTGCTTACTTGTAGCATCCATGCTATTCATTCACAAGTCTTGATAAAGACTTGCTTTACATCATGAGCAATTGTTGAGGGTGAAAGTATGTAGTAGTCTGGGCACCCTGTCTTCATCAAATTCTGAAACCCTTGATCATTCACAGTTTTGAATGGTCTTAGACCCTCCAACACTCAATGCACAATCTTCACCCTGGGTCCTATCAGTAGTGACATCATCAAGCAGATGGAAAACAAACCTCATCTCTGTGCAAGCAGGTAACTTTGCCTTTACCTTTTTGCTCAAATGAGCTTTTGATAGTCCCTGTCTCAAGTAGATCATTGACAACTCCATCTCATGCAGCAGCAGTGTCCCTGTGCTGACAATGACACTACTGCAGACACTGTAGGCATTCTCCCATTTTCCTCTGATAAACATCCAAAAAAATATTGATTGAGAAGATAGAAATTTCCTCTCATGTTGCCTGTCAAAACATTGAAAAAAAAAATCATGTGTTAAAGATTTTCTGTGCATGGGACATGATGCAAAAATTGGTCATGTTGCTTCAAGGATAATACTGCATTTTCTATCTATTGTCTTTACAATAATGTTAAATTTTTGTCCACATATACTATGTTTTTCAAATGTTTTGTGTATAATTGAAAACACAGACCAGAAATTTAACCTCATTGTAAACTACAGTGTATAACCACTGGTTGACACAGCAAATGTTAATTGTCCTCCTGTACACCACATACCTCCAAAATAATTGTTTCTAAGTGCTAGAATGATGATAAGTACTGTAATATACATGACAGATGTATTACAATTTTAATAATCAACAACAATAATGTATGAGAGTGTAGTCAAGCTATGTCAAGTAGTGTCACATGAAACTTGTCATTGACATGGCTGTGACAAGTGTGACACATCACTGCGATAACAATGATAATGTGTGGTGTCCACTTTGACACACATCTCCCTAGCTCTCAAACTCTTCTCCTGAATCCTCAGACTCCAATTCATCATCCTGTGCTATATCCTCAAGGGTAACAGCTGAACTTGATGCCACTGAAATCTCCCTGGGGCCTGGTGCATGTTTTGGCTTCAGTGGTCTTACTGGCTTCCTTGGCCAGTTCTTCTTTTCCACATTCTTGGCTGCCAACTCCTTCTATACTGCCACCCATTTTAGCACATCCTCAATGTGTTTCTCCTGTGGTTTATGCCACTCTGCTTCAATGGATACCTTTTCTGACCTTTTTGCAGCTTGTGAGGCCTTCCACTTATATTTCTTGGCCTCCTTTCCTTGTTTTTCCTGCTCGATACGCTCCAGCTCCTGTGTAAATGCTTTGTCAGTCAAGTAACGACCTTTTCCCTTGGGAAAACCTTTGCCTGGTCCATTTTTTTTGTCTCTTGTGCATACAATGATTGGCTTTGCTTTGTGCATAGTAAGCCCTGAACCATAAGCTGAGCATGTGCACCCTCAATAATGGGGTCCTGGCTTTGCAGGTGAGTTTTTGCACTGCTGAGGCTATCTTGCAGGTCTTCTGTGTACCTCTCAAGTTTGATCTATGATATTGTTGATGGCTTCACATGCAACAATGACCAATTAGGTGCAGGAATCTTTGGCAGTGCCTCAAGAATGGGTCGTGCAATTTGATGTGCAGATGCAACAGGATCCTTTGATACTAGAAAGCTCCCTGAAGCTGTATGTAAAATTGTAGCATTCATGGATTGCATGCATTTAGATGGTGTGTATAGGGCCGGATCAATATTGGGGTCAATAGGATGACATGGTGACCTTGCTCCATGAGATGCCAAAGTATGTGTACTTGGTGAAGTGTCAAATGATGTAGGTTTATGATATTGAAATGTTGCCATTACAGCATGAACAGGGCTTGAATGTTGTAATGGGAAGGCACCTTTGACTGACATTGCCTCACTGGGCTTCATCTGCTTTGCCATGATGACATCCCTGTTGAACGGGTAGATTCCAGTAGCTGTGCATGCTGCCTTGATCAATGTAGGTGTGAATGCCTTCAAGAAAGCATTTCTGAAGACTTCAATGAAGCTTCCTTTGTCAGCCTTTTGTTGATATTTCTTCTCAAAGCTGTTTACTTTGGACTTCCAGGTCTCCTTGAACTGTGCAAAGCAGATGACATCAAGGCCTTGAAGCACATATGTACAATGAGGTGGGCAACCAAGAATCTCAATGTTGTTCTCTTGGGCATAATGAAGAAAGGCAGGTGTATAATGAGAACTGTGACCATCAACAATCAAGATTTGGGTGCAGCCACCTGCCTTTTCTTTGGTCTTGGCATTGAAGTCATCATGCAGCCACTGTAGTGCTAACTCGCTGTCTGTCCATCCATTTGGAGACACTGCAATCCTATTGAGTGGTGAGCTGTGTGTCTAAGTTTGAATATGCAGGTGGCTCATGAAGCCTTTGAAACATTATTGTCACTCCACTTCTTGAAGATGTTCTTACCCTTGAAAATGACTGTCGGCAGGAGTGCAGTCCCATCTGCACAGATTGTGACAATGGAGGTGACATTTTCACAGTCCACTCCACCTTGTTTATGCTGTGTCTTTGTGCCTCTCCTTCCAATAACACGGTGAGTGCCCTGGTCACCTGGTGTGTTGCCTATCTCATCCATTGCATACATATCCTCTTTCTGAATAGGTTAACCATCCTTGCCTACAATGCCATGCTTCTCCACAAGGTTAAACCAATGCTCAATTGTGACTGGGTTCAGTGCCTGGGCCCTCTGTGTATTGAGTGGCTTGCTCCAGTGGGTCTGTAGCTTGTCACTGTGCCTTGTGAAGAAGCACTGACACCAATTAATTCCAACAGGCTCAAATTCATCACCAAGACAAGACTGGAGGATTTCATTTGCATCATTTTTGATGATGTTGTGTGTTAGAGGGATGCCATGATCTGCAGATTGAATGGCAAAGTCAACAATTACTCATTCTTCAGCTACTGTTAGCTTCTGTTTTGTAGCATTAAAGTCTGAAATGGACTGCTTGTTGTGATAACGTCTTGATAGTGTCTTGAATGGAACACCATACTGCTGTGCAATAGGCTGCAATCCCTTTCAATCTTTCTCTGGTTTGGCCTGCTCTGTAATATATGCTGCTAATGCATCTGCCATAGACAAGGCAGCAGTACAGCGCTTGTCTTGCTTCTTCACAGCATTGGATTTTGCGTGATTGACCATTTTAGCAAGAATGAAACAGTACTAATGGATGGAAATGACATGGCTGGGAAAAGTGCATTTATCATTTACGTGTTGTACACAATTGACACATTTTTAGTTCCCACACCCCTGAGTGCCATGCTGTGTCATGCTCCAGTGGCCTCCACATAATCTTCATTCAGACTCAGTGAAATATCAATCATTTATTGCAAATTGTGATCTATACATTGGTGAATGTGTCTACCTATATGCTGATGGTGTTTTTGCCACATACTACAGTGACCTATCTTCATATTATATGAGTGAACTGGTGTACATAATATCCTGTATAAGATGGGCCAGTGGACCATGGGCTGATATTATATATATCCTCGACATTGATAGATGGGCCAGGAGGGATATTATTACCAATGGAGATAGGTGGGCCCATCTAGGTAATATGTAGGAGTAGGATGGACATGTATATTATAGACAGCTGGGCTGAAGAGATGTAAGGCAAATATTATTATATAGATGGGTGGGCTGATGTAGTGGTTTTTAATATAATAGAGGGATGGGCTGAGGTAGTGTGGTATCATATAGATAGGTGGGCCGAGGTAAGATATGTATCACATAGGTGGGTGGGCCAAGGAGGGTATCATATAGATGGGCCAAGGGAGGTATCACAACACCTAACACCCGAGTTCCAAACATGACCATCAAGTACTAAGTACTGAGTTATGTAAAAAGACACAAGATACTGTGGGTCCATAGGAAGTCATGTAATAGTACTGTCTACGGTGTCAGTCATGGGAATAATGAGAATGGACTGGACATAGGGATAATGGGTTTCCAAAGGGTATTGGGTAGTCCGATATGCAGGAAAGTAGTGGGTCCAAAGGTGCAGGGTATCAGGTTCATTGGGTTATCATCAGGTTAGTGGGCTGGTATCAGAAACCATGAAAATAGCCTATTGTGAATTTTTCACTACACAAATCACTGAGTGTGGAGTGCCAAGACTCAAAACCTGAAGCCCAAAACTTAAAACTCAAAACTCAAAACTCAAAACTCAAAACATGTATGTGTTAAGAACCATGCTCAAGGGAGAGAGAAGACTGACTCAGAGAGGCTTGGCCTCAGCTCATATGCTGTGCCCCTTACCCAAGTATGTGTGTTACAATCAAGCTAAGTCTGTGACAAGCAAACAAAGTAAGTGAGTAACATAGAACTTGGATTGGGGCTCACACAAAGCCTGCTGCAACCAGCGAGTGTTTGATGATATGAGTTCACAGCAATCAATCTAGCTGCAAGGGCTATGATTGATTATTGACAATTATGACAGTGAAGTCATCAATCATTCTCTTCTCAAGGCTAA